GTCTGCTCGGGATGCCCAGCTCCAGCGGCTTGGGAAGACCCCGGGAAAGAGGAGGCAGCTGGAGCAAGCAGAGACTCCTGTCCGCCTCCGAGCTGGGGGAGCTCCTCCCTGGGCACCCATGAGGTCCGTGTGGATCACTACCCCAGCACCCAGCTCAGGGCAGGCAACGACCTCCAAGACAGAGCCGATCCCCTTGGAAACTCCCCAGTTTTTGACTCTAGCAGGGACCGTGACACTGCGGCCGACTCGTCTCAGGCCAAAGTCCCCCCAGGGGACAGCAACGGACCGTCCTTGCCATACATCATTCCAGCTGTGGGCATCGCTGTGATCTCAGCTGTGGCGTTTCTGGTGTATGCTCGATTGCAGAAATAGCGCTGGAGTGGATGGGATGCCACGATCATCACTCAGCCCGAGCAATTCTTCTTTGTAGCAGGAATTTGGCCAACGTGGTTGAAGCCAGAAGAGCAGTGATTGGGAGGGGAGGTAGAGGTGTCATTAAATCTCTTTCTGGAAGGTTTTGCTGGAAGAGGCCTTGGTTGCATGATGCTGTTGGGTTTGGGTCTGTTCCCCCCCATTTCCTAACCATCTTGTCTGTAGCCTTCTCCTTTTACAGCCATAGCGAGGGTCTTGTTCAGGGAGTGATCCCTTGAGTCAAAAAAGAAAGTCCTCGTGGCGATTCTCTACATCTTCCTTGTTTGGTCCCAGGAGGCCCCAGGGAAACATGTCCTGGTAGCCCAAAGGGTTGACCCCCCCACGTCCTTCCGGGCAGTGCAGCAAGGAGAGGTTTCGCAGACGTCCTGTAAAAGTGGAGCTGATTTTGTCGAGACTGCTCATCTTGGCTTGAAAATGTACCCGAAGGTCTGTGCAGCAGCCTTCACCAGTGCCTCATGTGGAATTTGCCTTACTCGGTGTCTCTGGCTCTGCTGCTGGCACCTTGGCTCATCTCTGCTCCTCCTTTCCTCCGGTGCTGAGTGCGTGGGCAGGACCCCCAGCGCACTGAGTTGCGCTGCCTCCTGCTCGTTCGTCCCTGGGATGAGAATGCGCCAGGCCAGACTGCGTGCAAGCTGTCGTCTCTCCCGGAAGCTGTTGTCCTGCTTCGGCGTCAGAGCATCCTCCGCAGGTCCAGAGGGTCAGGGATGGGATCTGGGGTCGCTTCATGCAGTGCTGACACCCTGGGGATGAAGTGGAGGGTCAGGAAAGAGCCGTAGCTAACCAGCTTTCTTGAGGATGAACCTCATTTCACCCCCCTCCTGCCAGGGAAGGGGTTATTGTCTAAGAGGAACATTTCACACAATGCCAGCATTAAGTGGGCTCGGTCCCACGCAGGCTTGTTGGGTGGCTTTGATCTTGAGGATGAATTTTTGAAGCCTGGCTAGGAGGGTGGATGTAGTTCTTGCCAATACCCGCCTCTCCCCAAAAGCACAGGGGCACAAAAGTAACAAAACTACTTTTTTTTAGTTAGAGAGTTATTGTAGCTAGAGGGGTTTTTTTTATTATTTTTTAAATATTTTTTTTTAAAGCTGTAAAGATGCCCGTGCAGACCTTTGGGTGTTCGCACCCTCCCATGATTTGCTGGAGGGCAACAGGGGAGCTGTGGCAGGAGGCAGGACTGGGCAAAACGTTTGGCGGTCTGGTGGTGGATTTGCACGGCAGAAGGCTCGTGCCACGGGCTGGCGTGGTTTGAATCTGGTGAGCCCGCAAGGATACCGTGGGCTTTAAACCACCGCAGTGGCCTGGTGCTGACAGCCAGGCTGCACTCCTAATCCAGGCTGTTGCCTCTTCCCTGCTTTACTGTGTCCAGTAATTCATTCCCCCAGGATTCCTGCCGTTCGGCACAGCTTTCCGAAACTTTCCTGCTGGCAGGGGAGATGGAGGGAGATGAGCTCCCCGGCACCTGGCTGCAGAGTGCAGCCGTCCTGCCTGGAGCTTGGCCTGCAGCGGGAAGGGTCCATCACCCCCACGATGGGGTGAGTGGCTGCTCCTCCCTAATACTTTGCCCAAAACCAGAAGTGCCTCCTTCAGTAAACTGTTTTGGTTTTTTCTTCAGCTTTTATAATTCTGTCAGTGGGGGCTTTGTACAGAACCTGTTGCCTCCCTGTGAAAGCTGCAGTTTTAAGCCCTGAGAATTACTCTATTTGTAGTGGGTAAGAAAATCTCCCCAAATCCTTTCACCTTACTGTTGAATATCACAGAATACATATAGTAAAGCAGAGTAACCGCACTGTAGGATCCATCCCAAAATTTGGCTCTTTAAAGAGAGGGCACGTGCCTTCTCCACACGCTTTCTGTGTGATTCTGAGGACGTCTGCGAGATCCCAAACCAGCAGCATCCATACCAAGGCCATCTTCTCTCGTGCTTTACTTGCCTGCAAAATTCTTCACGTATTTTCCCAATGGCTTGTATGCTTTGCCTTTTTCACTTCGAATTACTCTTGTGAAACAGCTGGTTTATCACCACTTCAGACTTGATAAAAGCATACGTTCGGTTTTCTGCTGTGAAGTGCCGATGTTTTCACAGTTGTAATGTAGCACTTTAAAAGCGTAATCAGCAGGTGAACCTGCAGGAGGGAACTGTGTCCCTGCAAATCTTTTTAAAAAAGGAAAAAAAAAAAAAAAAGCACCTTTTACTAACTGCACAATAAAATTGTTTGCCACTTCGCACTCAAGTTGTGAGGTTGCCGTGTGTGTTTGTAAGATGAGGGGAACAGATCTCGGTTTTTGAAGCCTCTGTGGAACAAGGAAAGATCTCCTGTAGAAGTTGGCTGGAGAATTAAATCACCTAAGTTATCTGCTCAGCAAACGGAGGCTGCAAAGAAGGATCCAAACAGCCCTCCTCTGCTTTTTTTGGGGAGGGTTGCTTGCTGCAGTTCATGCACCTTGGCTTTCCCAATTAAGTAAGAGGGCGCTTTTAATTAGCAAAGGCTGTTTGTACAACTTTTGCTATGTGCAATTTCAAGCAACTCCATCCGTGGGAGTTGGACCGTTTCCCTTGCTCTGGAGCTGTGTTTGGATTTCTCGGAGAACCCTTGCTTGAGTATCAGTTGGCAATTTGGCTTCCTCGCCTCTTCCTCCTCCTCGACCTGCCTCTGGCAGCCAGTTCTGGTAAGACCCTTGCTTTGATCTTCAGGGTTGCATGTTGGGCATGTTGAGGTGATACCTCGTGTTCCAGCGTCCCAGAGACTAGAGGTGACCTCCCAGAGCTTGGGGGTGGCTTCAGACGGTGCCAAGAACCATCAGTCCGTATCAGGAAGAGGTGGACAGGATTTGAGGACAGTTTCCAGGCCTTGTTTCGGAGCAAGCACGGGTCCTGGTCCAGATGATGCCCACCACGGCAGGTCGAGGATGGTTGTTCTCGATGCAGTGTATAGCTGAGCTGCAGGAGTCATCTCAGTGGAGATACTGTGGTTGCCAAAGAGGAACTGGACAAATTCTGGGAAGCGAAATGCACCAAAGGCTTTTAAACAGAAGTGAGAGCTGCGAAGTGTTACAAGCCAGAAGAGTGTTTGGGAGAAATTGGGCTGTAGGCAGCTGAGGTGGCTGAGTGGTGGCAGGCTGGGAGGGAAAGATGCTCCGGACTGGATGTAATCAGGTGGTGGACAGCACATGCACAAGCTCAGCATACTGCTCCCCCTTCTCTACGATCCAGATTCTCCTGGATTCTCTGGTCGAATCGGATCCCAGGATCCCGCACAGATGAGGCGGCTGGGCCACCTCTGCCACCCTGGTTTCAGCTCTGGGGTGCGGGCACCAGTGGTGGTTGCCCCCCTAGGTACCACTTCTCATCTGCTGAACAGCTTTGAGCTCAGCCTGACCTACAGAAAAGAAATCCCAACGTCCGCAAAACCACCCTGGCCCGGTTCCGGCTTCCCCTTGCTGGCGAGGGAGCCCTTGGGGAGAGCTCCTCCTTTCACTACGAGCTCCTCCTTTAACAACAAGCTCTCCTCGCTTTCTGCTTTCCCAGGTAGAGCTCTTGACTTACAACCCAGGTATTTGAAACACGTTCAGGGCTCAGGGCTGACAAAACTCTGAACTTCAGGCAGCGAAGCTCAGTGAGTTTGTTTTCTAATAAAATTAAGGTAACACTGTTATGAAGAAGGGTTATTTTTATTCCGTGAGGTTATGCTTTATCTCGTATCGGTACCAACCCCATTTATATGCTTCCTGCACTTGCCTGACAGGATATTAAAATTATACAAACTAAATTTGACCGATCCCTATATCCTGTTTTCACCACAGCAACCAGAATTCAGCAAATTGTTTCTGAAATTTTTACACCTTTTTCGCACGTCAGTCGCTTATCCCTTTGGTATCGAATTAATACCTTGAGGATTGCGGTGAGCCGAGATTAACGCCGTGGAGGTGAGGAGCACCGTGGGTCACTGGGCTGCAGTGCCACGCTTGGCCGTGCTCTAGGTACGTTAGACATAATTAACGTTCCACCTATGAGCCTCCATCGTGTTACAACGAGAGCTGTTATGGCATAATACAGTCTGGGAGTCTGTTTTCCTCTTGAATGTCGTCCTGTTCGTTGCTTCCACCTGTCTTTATGGTTGCCTCAATTTTTCTGCTGCCCGGATGGCTTCTGCTGGAGTTAGCTCAGCATTGATGACCATAGGGTCAGAGTTTAAAGAACAGAATGCATCAGCACTTAAATGACGTTGTGATTTATAGCTGAGGATTGGGTGTAAGTGCATCCCGAATCCTTGACCCTTGTTTCTTTGTCTTTCCTCCTAAATCTCCTGTCTTGGCTCACATTTTGTTGCGTCCGTCCGTTACTGAGCTTGCAAGATCTTTGGAGAACTCAAGTGTTTTCATCTGCCCTCACTGGAAGAGGGAGTTTGGATCCAGTTTGATCTCTGAGGCCTCGTGAAGGGGAACGGGACTTCTTTCTGCTGTCTGCCTGTCTCTTCCTCCGTAGGAGGGAAGCCTTAGCTCTCCCCAAGGCCGGATGTCCTCCGGGACACGTCGAGCTCAGAAGCATCTGATTCTCTGTCACTTTGTGTTAGTGCCGCTAACGTGGCCCAGAGCGGCAGCCTCTGAAGACGAAGCTTTCACCAACGCCTTTGGGACAGGGCGTCCTCACCAGCGGCATCAGCAGTGACGGTCTTGGGCTTCCCGGGGATGGGGAAGGGCTGGCTTGGAGCTAGGAACGAGGAGGTTTAGGCCCCAGGTGGAGGCCGTGGGGTGCTGACCCGACGTGGTGGGGGGCCAGGGGACCGCAGAGGCTCCTCACGGTGAGGTGATGAGGGAGGCGTCGCTATCTGCATATGCAAATCGTATGCAAAGCAGCCCCCCTCCCCGCGCGGCATCAGCCTAGCCGGGCCTACTGCGGTCGTCCTTTCGGCCCCCCCCCGCGTTGCCATAGTTACCCG